AAGAAGACTGAGAAACTGAATGATTTCAATGTGTCTTTGTTTTTGATCCTTTGATTCAGTGTAAATAATTTTTGTAAAAGACTGAAAGAAATAATAATACTGTGAAACAAAGTGTCATTCTGGTTTGTCTGTCTCTTTGCCTGTCTTTCCTTTCATTTTTCTTTTCTTTGCTCATCTTATTTCTTCTTCTACTTCACATGCTCATGCTCTTAGTCAATAGTTCTGTGACAATATATAGCCCCTCGTTTGTTGTCCTCTTCTCCCTCTCTGCCTACGGTTTACCGGGCAGTTCTATTTGACGATATATATATGAAAAAAAAAAAGAAAAGGCTTGACACCCGGTACACTACCATGGAGATGGAGATGGCATTTGCTGGGCTCACGCAGCCCTCACTCCGGGTTGTTGGTCCTTTCTTCAGTGCAGCCACCCATGCCAGCAGGATAGTTTCCTTTTTTTTATTTTTTATTTATTTTTATTTATTTATTATTATTATTTTTTCACAACTTCGCATGTGGGAAAACCTACTTAACGAGGTGATAAGAGCAGCCCCGGTAAGTAGGCCCCTGCGTCGAAGGCTGCATCTATTGGTCGGGAGCTGCACCTGCTGGAAATCGGCTCCAGCGTCCTTATACAAGATATGATGTGTATCAGCTGGAAATCGGGTCCAGCGTCCCTATTCAGTGATAGGAGGAAATATCATTGTGATGTGTATGAGCTGGAATTCGGGCCCAGTCTCCCTCTTATGAGTTCGCATCTACATCTCAGAAACGAGCCGAGGCATTGATTACTTCCCTGCGTAAGGGTAGGATTGACCTCCAGCTCTAATGTACTCTAATTACCTTGTAGGGTGACGTGGCACAATTCCCTACCTCCAAGTGTAGCATGGTGTACACGTGTACAAAAAAATGCACGCAAAAATGTAAAAAATGTAAAAAGCCATCTATCAAGGTAACAAAAAAAAAAATGATAAAAAATGGTAACAAACATATGTAAAATACTAAAATCAGGAAAGTTGAAAACTACTTCAGAAGACAGCAATCGTAGCGACCCCTCAGCAGGATAGTTCCTGAATGTCCGTGAGTTTTTCAGCAAAGTTTTGATGTAGAAGGGAAAAAAAAAAGAAAAAAAATTGAGAAAAAGAAAAAAAAAATGGTTATTGATGTTTGACAGCTGCTGTTTGAGTTTATATCATTTATATGTTCCTGGCTGGCATTTGGGGCATCCCAAACGTCGCCCACTGTGTACACTCCTTTTTATATATACACCCCTTTGTTCCCCAATGTTCTCCAGTGGGGTGAGAATCCTTGGAGAGGGGAAGGGGGGTGCCGGCTACGCCTTTATTTGGGGGTGCCCGATAGTAGGCAGCCTCCACAGCTCATGCCATCTTGCTGCTGGTGGTTTTCTCTTTGGTCGCCTTTCCCTTGGCAGGCATATGAAGAAGGGCCAAAGTGGTTCCACTAGGACGTTCCCACCTGGCTTGGTTTTAAGTGGTCTTGTTCCTCCGAATACTCACGTTCCTGGGAGCTGGATTTTTATTTTTATTTTTTATTTTTTATTTTATTTTAATTTCTCTTTTTGTTTTTATGTTCTTTATGTTTTTTATACATGGGTTCACTAGGCTAACCCATTTGGCTTGTTTTTTATCCTGGGATTTTATTTTTATTTTTATTTTTGTATTTTTTAAAGAAATAGGTCGGAAGCAAGAAATCCTGGGAGGTGTTGGGATAGTCCTGTTAGGATTTGCCAAAGTGGGTCCACTAGGATGTCCCATCCGGCTTTTTTTTTTTCTTCTTTTTTTTTTTTAATTAGGTCAAGAGCAGGAATTCCTGGGAGATGTTGGGATAGTCCAGTCTGGATTTGTGAGCCATCGTAAAGGCTGTACTCGTTTGGCTGGGTTGGAAGGAGGGGCTAGATTTGCGATCCGAAGGTTGCACTTTTTTTTTTTTTTTTTTTAAATTAGGTCAGGAGTAGGAATTTCTGGGAGATGTCGGGATAGTCCAGTCTGGATTTGTGAGCCATCGTGAAGGGTGTACTCGTTTGGCTGGGTTGGAAGGAGGGGCTAGATTTGCGATCCGAATGTTGCACATATTGGGACCAAGGGATATAATTTATTAATTTCCTATCAGGAGGCGGCACATTATGAATCCGAAGATGATTGCTTACTCTATTTCTTCCTCTGGGTCAATTTATACCTGCCCCCCCTCTTATCCTAGAGTGGGTTATCAAGGCATCCCTCAATTTCTCTCAAACATTTTTTTTTTTTCTGTTCCAATTTGTGCACATCAAAGATAGTTCCTCCCTCCCC